GAGACGGGGTTTCACCATGTTGACCAGGATGGTCTCGATCTCTTGACCTCGTGATCCACCCGCCTCGGCCTCCCAAAGTGCTGGGATTACAGGCTTGAGCCACCGCGCCCGGCCTGTATTTTTTTTTAATTAGATTTTTTTTTGGGGGATGGAGTTTCGCTCTTGTTGCCCAGGCTAGAGTGCAATGGCACAATCTCAGCTCAATGCAACCTCTACCTCCTGGGTTCAAGCAATTCTCCTGCCTCAGCCTCCTGAGTAGCTGGGATTACAGTCTCCTGCCACCATGCCCAACTAATCTTTTGTATTTTTAGTACAAACAGGATTTCACCATGTTGGCCAGGCTGGTCTCGATCTCCTGACCTAAAGTGATCCTTTAGGAGGCCTGCTTTGGCCTCCCAAAGTGCTGGGATTACAGGCGTGAGCCACTATCCCTGGCCAAAACTCAATAAAGCTCTTAATAAAAAACAGTAAACAAACAAAATGCCTAAAAAATAAAGCCTATTAAAAGCATAGCCCTGAGGTCTCACAAAATGGCCAAAGGTCACACTTTGACAATCCTATTTTATTTTATTATTTATTTATTTATTTATTCATTTCTTCTTTTTGCTCTTCAGGGTTGGAGATTCCTTTTTCAGGGTGACATTCCTATTTTATACCCAAATAAAAGGTGTTTCGTTGATAACAAAATCAGAAAACGCAGCTAAGCAAAAAGGAGAAAACAGAAATTGTAAAGAAAAAACAAAAGGCTGAGCGTGGTGGCTCACGTCTATAATCCTAGCACTTCAGGAGGACGAGGTGGGCAGATCACAAGGTCAGGAGTTCAAGCTTGGCCAACATGGTGAAACCCCATCTCTACAAAAAATACAAAAATTTCACCACCTCAGTTTCTATTGCTAAGAATGTCCTTCATAAGGGACAAGCCATTGCCAACTTAACTGATCCCCTACTATAGGCATGTACATGGTTCCTGTCTGCTGCTAGAACCTTCCATGGGATTCTGACTTCAATGCAGACCTGGCATCTCCTCTCTCAACCCCTGGCTCTGGAGGTGGCCTCAGCAGGGGCAGATTCACAGACTCACCGTCCCTGTTGCCGGCCGATCAATCTGGATCTCCACCACCTCCCCTTCGATGATCTCCGTCTCCTCCCTAGCCAGAGAGCAGATCTGAGGAGACAGCCTGAGGCCTGAGCCCTCACAAATCATAACTTTCCCCCAGCTCTGGGACAAAGGACAAGCCGCTCAGGGCCCAGGAGTTGCCCCCAGGCTCTGGGGATGGCGTCAGCCTCTCATCACTTGCTTACTTGATACGAACGCCAATAGACCGCCGGAAGGCCTGCGTCAGTGCCTCGGTCTTGCTCATCTCCAGGGAGAAGATTTCACTGCCGGCAATGGCCGTGAACGGCGTGTCCGGGCCCAGGGCCTGCGCCATGCCTGGGGAGGGGGCAGTCTGAGTAGGTGAAGCCACTCTGGCACCAGGTCCCTGACACCTGCTCTGTGGCAAAGCAGCTCTTCTCCCACTCCAGGAAAAAGGTTTCAGTGCCATCCGACCTGTAAAACCTTGACTTCGAGCTGAGGAGAGCCCTGGTAAGGGCAACTGGAGAAAGAGGTCCAGCCACGAGGTCGACAGACAGACAGTGAGAAGCCAGGGAGGGCAGGTTTCTCCGGCAGGCCGGGCTTAGAATCCCACATTGCCCAGAGGGTTCACCCTAGAGCCTCGCCACACCTCAGTCTACCAGCCTCTACCAGTTGTTTAGCCTCAGAGCTGGGCGATGGGGAGCAGGGACGAAGCCAAGGGGCCGACACCATCGTTACAGGTGACGACGGAGGCAGACTGCCTCGGTTCAGGTCCCAACACCTGGTGCACCTGGCGCCGTGTGATCCGAGAGATCTTGACTGCTCCCTGAGCCTCAGGTTCCCCCTGTGTCTAATGGGATGACAGCAGGTACTGCCATGGGATGATACCCTGCTTAGGAGTGACTGTGGGCAGGCAGGCACTGATGCTCAGCTTAACATAGTCACACGGCCTGAAACTGTCACAGGGCAGGGCGTGCTACCACCTGTGGCCTGGGGTGACTGGCAGCAAGCAGGGCTGTCTCCAGCAACGGCCCTAAGCCTCAAGGCTCTGTCAGTGCAGAGCACGTCCTCACAGACAGGCTGGCGCCATGCCCTCCTGCTCAGCGTCAAACAGGAACTCTTCCTGGTCCCCTTTGTGGCCGCACAATGGCCCTGATCACAGAACTCAGCAAGTATCTATGGAGGACCCAGTGGACGAGCACTGCCCATGCCACCTGGGGACACCTTGGGTCCTCTCTGCCTCTTTCATTAGACCAAGGAGCATCCCCAGGGCAAGGCTGGCCTCACCCCTGCCCAGCACAGGGTTTGGCCTACAGGAGGCTTTGCCCAGGAGGCCAAAACACAAGAAGAGGAAGGGCAAGGCCAGGCACGGTGGCTCACTCCTGTAATCCCAGCACTTTGGGAGGCCGAGGCGGGTGGATCACCTAAGGTCAGGAGTTCAGGATGAGCCTAGCCAACATGGTGAAATCCCAACTCTACTAAAAATACAAATATTAGCTGGGCATGGCAGCACACATCTGTAATCCCAGCTACTTGGGAGTCTGAGGCAAGAGGATCACTTGAACCCAGGAGGCAGAGGTAGCAGTGAGCAAAGACCATGCCACTGCACTCCAGCCTGGGCAACAGAGCGAAACTGTCTCAAAAAACAAAACAAAAATGCCGGGTACCATGGCCCACTT